AGGGGGAGAGGCAGAGATGTGCAAGTGGGGGGATCAGGGCACACACTGGGGTCCTGCCTCTCGCCTGCCCCGGGCAGGTGGTCTGGCTGTCTCTGCGTGGGATCTGGGAAACTGGGTGGATTCCAGTGGGAACCGAAAGTACTGAGGTGTTCACGTTCACCTCTCTTTTCTTGCCTGGGCATCTTCTCTCGTCTTTGCTTCTCACTGTCCCTGGTGTCTGGTTCTGGGCCTGTGTGAGTGGTCTGCCCACCCAGGGCCTAGCAGACGATCAGAAAGCTGACACAATTAAGGAGGGATTCTGCAAGGCCAGGGGAAAGGCACAGCAGCTGGAAACACCCAGAGGAGAACAGGGTCCCTACACTCATGGAGGCCACAGTTAAGCGAAACCCGCCCAGGTTGGAGAGAAAGGAACGTGCCCAGGGGACACAGCAGAAAGTGCCACAGTAGCCACTCTGCCAGCTGTCCACCCACCCACCCATCCATGCAGTGTTCTTAATGCTAAGGTCTGCGACTGAAAACTGAGGACCAAAGGGTTCAGTGTTCAGTCCAGAGGTCTATGCCAATTCAGAACTGGCTCCCAGAGCTGCTGGCTAGAGCGCTGACCGCCAGCAGGCAGCTGAGCACACAGCAAGGCACTGTGACCTCCCCGCTCCAGTCCATGTGCAAGAGCAGGGTCTTGGCCCCACAGCCTCGAACTACTAACCCATCGGCCCACAGCACGAGCGAGGGTGAGAGGATCACAGGGGAACCCTGCCCAGACCAAAGGCAGTGGTTCTGCCTGCCTTTCACCTGACCATGTTCTCCGAAGGTGTGGGTAACATCTTGCATATGAACAAGAGCACAGAAGGACTTGTGAGGAGAAAAATAAAATGAACACACACAGAGAAAGCCGATGAACATGAGCCCTTCCGTGTGTGAAGAACTCATTGCCTTCCTTCCACTGGAGGCTGCACCTGCCCAGGTGAGGCCTCGTCTTCCCCTTGAGAGCTTGCTCAGCTGCCCATCAGCCCAGGAAGCAAGTCCACAGGTAAACCTCGCCCATTTCCTGCCCTGGCCAGTTCCAAAGCATAGTGGTCTCTTACTCAAGCCTGGCAGCCCTGGGCTGGCTTCTGTTAATTTGCTGTCAGGCTGCCTAAGCAAACCAATTAAAACTAATCATTAATTATAAAAGAGAGTGAGAAGAAGAGAGAGGAGAGGGCGAAAGACTGAGATGGGAAGAAGTAGGAAAGTGGGCTGTAGGGAGCTGGGAGTGGGGGTCCGTGGGTCTGGGAGCTGGGAGTGGGGGTCCGTGGGTCTGGGAGCTGGGAGTAGAGGACCATGGGTCTTGCAGATGGGAGTGGAGGATCATGGATCTGGGAGCTGGGAGTGAGGGGCCGTGGGTCTGAGAGCTGGGAGTGGGGGTCCGTGGTCTGGGAGCTGGGAGTGGGGGGGTCCGTGGATCTGGGAGTAGAGGACCGTGGACCTGGCAGATGGGAGTGGAGGACCGTGGACCTAGCAGATGGGAATGGGGGGTCGTGGGTCTGGCAGATGGGAGTGGGGGGCCGTGGGTCTGGGAGATGGGAGTGGGGGGCTGTGGGTCTGAGAGCTGGGAGCAGGGGTCCGTGGGTCTGGGAGATGGGAGTGGGGGGCTATGGGTCTGAGAGCTGGGAGCGGGGGTCCGTGGGTCTGGCAGATGGGAGTGGGGGGCCGTGGGTCTGAGAGCTGGGAGTGGGGGTCTGTGGGTCTGGCAGATGGGAGTGGGGGTTCGTGGGTCTGGGAGATGGGAGTAGAGGACTGTGGACCTGGCAGATGGGAGTGGGGGGCCGTGGGTCTGCCACATGGAAGTGGAGGATCGTGGATCTGGGAGCTGGGAGTGAGGGGCCGTGGGTCTGAGAGCTGGGAGTGGGGGTCCGTGGTCTGGGAGCTGGGAGTGGGGGGGTCCGTGGATCTGGGAGTAGAGGACCGTGGACCTGGCAGATGGGAGTGGAGGACCGTGGACCTAGCAGATGGGAATGGGGGGTCGTGGGTCTGGCAGATGGGAGTGGGGGGCCGGGGGGCTGGGAGTTGCGGGTCTGGGAGCTGGGAGTGGGGGGCCGTGGGTCTGGGAGCTGGGAGTGGGGGGCTGTGGGTCTGAGAGCTGGGAGTTGGGGACCGTGGGTCTGGGAGCTGGGATAGAGGACCGCGGGTCTGGGAGCTGGAAGGCCTAAGAAATGCTGGAGTTTAGGAAGGGCAGGACCGAAGCCAGGGATGGAGAGGACATTGCCCTGGGCAAGGCCAGGAGAGGAGGGAAGGAGGCGATGGGAGGGTCAAGAAGCCACAGGGACCAGCGTACCAGGACCCGGCGAGGCCTCATCCATCCGTAGTCCCCGCTGGCTGAAGCCACTGCCTACTCTGGACTTGGCTCCAGAGTGCTCACCCAGGGCCGCCCAGCTCCCTGCTTGTGAGGTCCTGCCGATCGCGCAGCACCAGGCCGGCTCCTACCTGCTCCCTAACCCTCTCAGGCCACGGAGGCTCTGGGCAGCTGTCGGCCACCATCCACCACCCCCAGCCTGTCTTCTTACCCCTGCCTCCAGCCCCGTCCCCATCCTCATACACACCCTCTCCTTGGCCTGGCCCTTTCACAGGGGGCTGGGGCCATGTCAGCCCGGCGGCTTGAGGAGGGGGGCAGCACAGACAACAAGGGGCAGCGTCATGGAAACGGGCACTTTCCCGGAGAAATATTCTGTTTGGCCTCCTTCCTGCATTGAGGAGCTGTCAGGAGCCTGAGTGAGAGTCACACTACCCCGGGACCAGGCGTGACAAAACCTATTTTCTGCCTCAAATTTGATTGATTAAAAAACTTTTTAGGAAAACCATGTTAAAAGAGTGAAAAAGAGAGAGAGAGAGAGTCAGGGAGGGAGAAACAGAGGAGAAAGGGAAGAGAAAATAGGACGTGCTACAGAGAGGAGGGCTGAGGAGAGAAAG